GACTCTTGATGATGAACTATATCTAAATGACTAATATTAGCATATTAAAGATACTTATTTTATTTTTATTAGATATGACACTTGATGATGAACTATATCTAAATGACTAATATTAGCATATTAAAGATGCTTATTTTATTTTTATTAGATACGACACTTGATGATGAACTATGCACAGTGGTTATAGATGGAGAATATCTCACAGAAATAGATTACACCATGGCAGTGGTAAGGAATGAAAAAACCATTAGGTTACTGGCTTGTTTTTTAATGATATGTTCAAGGCCTGTAATGTAGAGGGTAAAAAAGTAGTAATGTGTGTCAGAAATGATTAATTGTGAAAGTCTGTAATATAGGTAGAATGACTGACCTTATTAGCTGTCTGTGATCATCTGTAAAGTTCTTGTTACATATTTTTTTTGCTGTATTATTAAGCTTTCTTTATTTTTTCTGATAAACAGGGGGTGAAGAATATGATCGAAACATTCAGAAAAGATGATGTGATAACGATTTTCACCAACCTCAAGGTGAATCATATCAGTAGAATTTATATGTTTAGAAAATAAGTAGTGTTTATGATAGTCTGAATTTAACATATAATTAATTCAGATTTTGAATAACTTATTTACTCAGATGGTGAGAAATATTATAAGTTTTTTGTTTGTTTAAAATTTTTAGTTAATGGTATGTATGTTATCAGTGTATATAGGTTACAAAACGTGTAATTTTTTTTTTCCTAGCCTTCCATAATCAGAACACTTCAAGGAACTCGGCCCTCGGTGTTTCACTACTGCAGATCGATAGACCAAGTTCAAAGTGTTATTGATCGTAAGTATACTTTTGGTGTATTTTTCTGTATTGTAACCTCTTATTTTAATTAAATGATATGGCTCGTACGGGCTTTTCAATACTTGTTACTGGAAATGAAGACGACTGTTTCACCAATATGATGTTTGTTCTACTCCATTTCACTTGTATTCTCACTGATAAACTATTTAGGATAATTTATGCACATATTTAACCTATAATAAAAGGATTAAAGCCTTTGGTTAACATGTATAGTAGATAATTTCTTGTATTAGGATGCTTCTCTCGTATTCATTTTAAAATCCTGTAGCATAAACTCTTTTACTAAGAGTAACAATTGCCTCTGGAATTGATACTAAATATTTCATAAGTGAGCAGAAGGAGTTAGAGTGTGAGAGTCTTTTACGTGTTCACTTATTTTGATTGTAATTTATCTTTCTTTGTGTGCGACTGTGTACACATAGATCCTGCTAGAACATTTGTTTGAAACTGTCACCAGTTTGTCACCCATGTGTGTGTCACTCCATAATCTAACCAATTATACTTAATTACCTTAAAGCACTTATAAACTTTTAGGCCGATCATTATCGTGGCTAGTAGTCTCAATTATCACTTAAGTCTATCATTAATTAGCTACAAATTTTGTACATGTTTTTATTACCAATAACAATTACTATTTAATAATAAGCAGATTAGTAGTCAAAACAAAGCAAATAAACTAATTAGTATCTAGTAATGGGGAAAACAAATTATAAAAGTATTAATAACTAGGCTACTAACCATGTCAATGGTTGATATTTTTGTGCCATACCCATACTGTAAACGATTTGTATGTTGATGTTCAGTACTATAAATAAAAGATGATCCGAATCAAGGAAAAGGGTCTATAAGGCAGGAATTTTGCCTGCAAGTGATTTCTAACAAATATTTACTGTGAATGTAATGGAACCACCATTGGATACGTTTGTAGAACAAACTTGTCTGTTTCTACACCCCTATTTCTTCCCATATCTATCAAATCCTGTATAAACCCACTTGTTTAATGTTTCTCAGTTTGAGGTAATTATACAGATGTTAGATTTTTTTTTCTTTTAATATGAGTACCGTCTTTAAGAATGTCATTATAAGATGTAATAAATAATGCTTACTAGTGGATAGTTTGTCATAAGGACTATTGCTTATGGTAAAGTGTCAAGACTCGTAATTTTCATATATTAAAGTATTTTTTATCATGTGATATGAAAGGTAACTACTGAACACAAATCCACACTAATCTTATGTACATCACGTGTATCAACTAATGAAATAGCTGTTTGCTGACTTAAGTCACTTGCTTGGTTACACATTAGACATTGTCCTATAAAATTGACACAATGTTGTAGTTACACAACTGATAATAGTGTTCCTTATTGCTTACAGAGTGGTTTATAAGGCTCACAATGTTAGCAAGGTGTCACTTAATTATCCTGAAGTAATACAGAGGGTGTCATATGAAATGTGGATGTGAAGGGGGAAGAGTGTACATCTGGAGCATGTAATAGTGAACTATTAGACACAGACACCTTTAAAAAACCTGCTGAAATACTGTTGTTCTAAATGCTGTCACCTGGTGATCTCCCTCCAGATAACAGTTAAACTAATAGAAGTGATACAAGTTATGTTTTTCCTTTACATTCCATGTTTGTTGTGTGTGTCTATATGTTTAAGGCTGAGTGTAAGGTAAACAGTCTTACCTATTTTATTGTGTGTTAAAAACTACCTCACCTGACTATTGTACTGTTTAAAGCACAAACTCAAGTATTTGTCATGTATGGTAATCATCCTTGTACAACACATGCCAGCACAAACTCAAGTACATGTATGGTAATCAACCTTGTACAACACATGCCAGCACAAACTCAACTACATGTATGGTAATCATCCTTGCACAACACATGCCAGCACAAACTCAACTACATGTATGGTAATCATCCTTGCACAACACATGCCAGCAC